CCCCCATTAATTCTACCAAGTATTCCACATATTTCCAACAAATCTCATTTATTTTTAAGTTTAGCATAATTTCCATTGTCAACAATGATGAAGCCAGACTAGTGCAGGCACAGTATCAGAAGAAAGTCACTTGGGGAAATGGTCATGGGCCCTTACTGAGGCTGAAGAGAATAGACATCCAGTTAGCGCTCAGGAATGTGGATCTGTCAGCCATAACAAAGAGTTAAATATTTTTTTCTTCTATGGCTATTTGCAAAGAAGTGTCCATTGAAAGGAAGGACTTAGCAGATCAAATAGTCACTCGTGTGGAATGGTGTTAATAACACGGAGAATTTAAAGATGCTAGTGCGAGGTAGCGGCTTCTAATGGGAACAGACAGTTTAAAGGAGAGATGACAGGCTTAAATCCCTATATTTTAGCTTAAGGCATGGACCCAGGGAATTTCTTTGGTCATAAGTGTCTACAAAAATGTTTCCAAAAACCAAGCACGGCATTAAAACTGTGAGGGTTCCTGAGCAATGTCTGTTGGATTCCTGATGTCACCATGTGAAAATGAGAGCACTGGTCAGGAAAGAATGGGGTATTGGATAGGGAGGCAAATATGGAACCCAGGGTGGACCCCCAGCCACAGCCTGCACTAAAAAACAGACCTACCTCCTCCCTTTTTGCATCCTCCTCTCAGGTCAGGGTTGAGCCAACACTCTGGCTCTTTCCATTAGACCTGAATCTTTTCACCTTCACTCAAGACCTGAAGAATAAGTTGTGTTTGGTAACTTCAGTACTATGCAAAGGCAGATGTACACAGAAGGGAGGGAGGAAAAAAATCCTATGAAAATATAGGGATCCTCTAATCAAGAAAGTTTCTAAGGGCCTAGTGATACCACTGCCAAAAAGCCGATGGGCTTCAGTCAGCTTTCCTTGGTTTGCAGAACCTATGCCCAGTATTTTGTTGAGTTCAGCAAATCAGTTATTCAAATGGCTCTTGTAATCAAGACTCTCTCTAAGGGGGTGGTGGGGCAACTGCCCAATGTGGAAATCACAACTTTACATCCCTTACTCTTTTGCAATGTCATCTGTGAAATGGTGTATTTGAAGCACCCATCGTAATATTCATTCCATTCACAGGTATGAAAAATTAGATGGCACTATGCTTGCAATCTTTTTCACTCATCTCATAAAACCCATTATACTTTTGATGAAATACCACCTTTTTATTCCCAGTGTTTGTTCAGTAAACAAATATAACAGGAAGAGGAAAAGTGTCAAACGACCAGGGGGTGACACTCTGTCATTCATTTCAGCTTTGTGTTACACCCCAAATCCCCAAGGGGTACATGAGTAAATGATGCAATTCCTAAAAGTGTTCAAAGAGCTAAACATATTTTCAGCACAATCACTGTTGTTCAGAGATGAACATAAACGTTCCTCAAAAGAAGTGGCTTGTCTCTAATATATCAAACACAATGACTACTGTCTAATTGGCCTGCCTCAAAAGAAATGAGATTCTACCCCTACAGTGAAAAGATGGTTGGTGAGGGATAAATCACATAGCTCACGATGCTCAGATAAAAGGGAAGAATATTTCGAGTGAGGATGCTGGTCAAGAAGCAATATGGAAATATCTTAAGTAACAGTTTTACTGTTTTTGCCAAGTATTATTTAATATTTTCATGAATATTTTAAAATTCTTAAAGCAATTGATTTAACCTCTAGTACTAGACCAAACGTTAGAAGATCAACCAGCCAAGCTGATCCCTTGGCTCCCTTTCCATGATGGAACCGCGCTCAGCTGGTCTTCCAAAGTGCCTGCTGACTCTGGATGCCCCCCACGTGTCAGGCGTGTCCTGCTTCGCCTACGTTTGCCATCACAGACTGACTTAAACAAGGCAGGAGAGGGAAGTGGACAGAGGTGGGAGGCCAAGATTAAACCACAGCATTCTCCTTTATAAGAGAATATAAAGAGCAAAGGGAGAAATCCTCCAAATAGTTAGTACAGGGTCCTTCTTTTCCTCCAGCAAGTTGAGAAAGTCTTATTCTGCCAGCAGAGTTCCTAGAGATTTCTGGCATCACCTGTGTGGGCCAATAGCAGTCCTTGGTGCCTATTCTGAGCCAAGTACTGACAACCATAAAGACACAAGAGACCTGCAGCTCCCTGCCCCGAAGGGCTGGAGGTTAGGGCGGGAGATGATTGGTAACAGGCATGGATGTGGCAATTTGCCAGGAGCTGTATTTTATTTTTGTCTCTTTCAGTCCTTGGGAATACAAACAACTTTCGGTTAAAATGTCTTGGGGATACTGAGACCTTGTTCCCTAAATCGGCACGCCCCATCCTCAGCCTTCTTCTCCAACTCATAGCCTAAGCAGAGAAGGCGGAATAGCCCTTGTATTGAACGAACGGCATTCCCAGGGCCTGTATTCCCAGTGTCTCTGTCTAAATCATCGTCTCATGACAGGTCATCAGGATCATAAATTAATAACCATTGGGAAGGGAACGTTCATTATAGCGCAGCGTGGAAAAGGGAAGCGTAAGCTTGCACGAGTCTCAACTACTTCCTACTTTAATGTTTAAAGTAAAATGGGAACTCGGAAGAAACTGGCTGTATTGGTACTACCTGATACACTACCTAAAAACACTACCCTAAATATTATTAACTTTCCACAGTCAAATAATCACTTAGGGAATTATCTGCATCCCTTCCTATATTACACGCAATAACAAGGTAAAATGGACCTTAGACATCCCAGCTTTAAATATGAGGATATGTCTAAAGGCTCGTGGGAAGATAGAATGAAACGTAAAGGGATCTGTCCACAAACTTTCTGCAGCCCCCTCATACATTATCCATGCCAGGGCTCCATCGTGTCACACAATGTGGAAGTTAGCTCTTTCCTGAAGGTGACTGTCTCTAACCTTCATGAAAGCTTTCCTATTGGTCAAGCTCTGTCTTGGGAGCCAATCCAAGTCCACTGCATGGTAGAGCCCCTTTGCTGACTGTCCTCTCGGCTCGTCATCTTCCACAGTCAGGTGGTTAGGTGGCTTATACAGCCAAACGTCAAGGTCTAGCCTATGGTGAGCAGAGCATTTGGTGAACCCAAGTCGAAGTTATTGCTGTCCCAACCCATCAGGAATTGCTTTAATGTCAACAGTTAGGGTCGTTGGCTTTGAGTTCAAACCTGTAATGTGGCATTTTAATAGCTAAAGGCCTACACACACACACACACACACACACACACACACAAAGCTCCAAAACGAAGACCTTCTGCCAGTAACTGAGAAATAAATTCCTCATTTCCTGCTGCTTGGATCGCAGAGTAATGAGGGCTCCTGAGTTCCCCACAGTAATACATTGGAATGCACAGATGCGCCCTTCTGATGTGCACCAGTTTTAAAGTTTAGAGTTGATGCCTTTTCATCCTTAATTTATCCCCCTTGTAAATATTTCTGTGCCATTTCCAATATCTGAAGTATGTGTATTTAAAAAAAAATAATTTATTCCTACTTCAGTTGTATAACTTTATGTTGAGTCACATGTGGGCCTAAATAAACATACCTCCAGCTACAGTTCTCAAGATACTTCTGACAGCAAAAGAACTCAAACAAATGTTTTGGTTGGGTGGTGAGGTACCTTTTTATCTGGCCCAGAGGCCCTTGAGAGCAGAGGGGACGTCCCAATGGCTCTCTGACTGTGTGTTTTCTGCCGCCTTTAATACATGGCATGGAAGTGGGTTGAAGTGGTTGTTTTAACATTTGACCACCAGAGGGTGCTACTTGATTGCTGCTGAAGTCTATTTCCTGCGTGGCCTTGAAAAGTGGAAGTCCCGTTAGCCAAGAAGGGCCCCCCCGCAACCGCTTTACTGATGATGGACTTTCAGGAAGACAGTTCAGCCTTTTTCTTCAAAGAGTCAGATTTCATTTATCACATACACACACAAAATCTGTTGCTAGAACATACCAAAACTCATTGATCTACGTATTTGTCACAACGTAGGCAGGAAATGTTCATCATTTTTCATTGCCATGGAGTTTACTTGGTATTTACTGTGTGACCACAATGAACCCAGAGAACAATAAAACAACAAGAACACTTGCTCAGCTACAACAACCGTGTTTCCCGTGTCACTTAGCCGGTTTTCTAACCTGATGGTCTTCACGATTGTTTCTTTCTCTTGCAACCTTCATGCTTCCTAGTCAGGTGTGCATCTCCCCTCTTCGCTTCTGTGTAATTTTACATGCCCGTTGTTTTCATTTCTGGGAAGCACTTTTATGTATTAGCTTTGACTTCTTCTGTGTCTTGTTTATGACTTGCTGGGGTTTGTGTGCAGATTTCCCACTTGTTCCTTGCTATGCTCACAGGAGGCTTGGAATTCGATCCACCTTCACCCACGGGAAGCTTGTATGAGCGCTGTGTGTAGATTATGGGAAGAAACTCATGTGCTGTCAGCTGAACTGGCACAGCTGTACATCAGAGGTAGCTCTACCTCCTCCCCGCCCCCCACTAAAGGACTCAATTATAGTAGATATTTTAGGCTTTGTGAGCCATAAAGTTTCTGCCACAACTAGTCAGCTGTGCTATTGGAAGTGAGCACCCCGCCACAGACGTGTAGGAGAAAATATAATGGTCATCCAGTAACCCTTTATTTACAGAAAGGGGGGGGAGAGTGGGGGAGACAATAATTTGCTGATCCTTGCAAATGATAAACCTTAAAATAATACTCTCCTTATTGATAATATTCAGAAAAGTTTCTGTTGCACTATTTACGATTTCCCCCTTCTTTACACAGGTTTGACCAAGTGCGATCTTACTACAACTCATCTTAATGCCTGGGCTCCCTCTCCACGGCTTTCAAAATCAGAGCCCACGGTGGCATTGGCGATCGGCGTGTGGTTCGGTCTTGACCCTCGAGAACCCCCCATTGTCAGCAATGGGGTCCTCAAGGAGGATGCCACTTCCTAACGATTGCTCTGGAGAAAACACGCAGTCAGCAAAGACAGGGCTTACCTTCGGATTGATGGGTAGCCAGGGGAGTCTGGGTCTCCTTGCAGTAAGACACGACTTCCCGCGGCAGGAAATCCACCTGAGTAATCTTGGACACGCCCAGTTTGTGCAGTCTTCTTCTGTAAGTCACAAAGACAAACATTGAGGGAGGGGAGGCACTCCATGCAAAAGCGCAGAAGCGCCCTCAACAACAATACAAAGTGCTGAGACAGGCATGCAAACCCAAACTCTCCCAACTCGCTACTCAAGGGCCAAGATCACAAAGTAGAACTGGCCTGGGGGCCAGAAGTCTGCTAGAGTCTGGCTATGATGTGCTGAGTGATACCAGATCGCTCCCTCCTGGTGATTCTTCGCTTTCCTTTCTGCCAAATAAGATCTTGCTCCATCTCAGATGAGAGCTTTCCATTCTGACATCTGTGATTTTGCTTTGATTAAAACCGATAGGTGGTTGTTTGCCTTCTAGTCGGCCCCTAAATTAAAGTGCCCTGTATCAGTTTATAAATGGAGTTGTTGTTAGGTTGGTTTTAACTCAGCAGGACACTAAGCACAACAGAATTAAATACCGCCTGGGCCTGCACCATCTTCACAATTGTTCTTATGCGTAAGTCCAAGGTTCCGGCCAAGGTCAATCCATCTTGCCAAGGGCCTTCCTCTTCTTGCTGCTCTCCATTGCATGGGGCAAGTTGCTGTGCATGACCTCTTTGGAGTATCGAAAAGCAAGGATGATACTTTGAGGACTACGGTGCACCTGATCCTAGCCTTGGCATTTCCAGTGGCCTCGTGTGCAGATGAAAATTGGACACTGACTAAAGAAGGTGCATTTGAAGTGTGGTGCTGGAGAAGAGTGTTCAAAGTACCACGGACTGATGAAAAGACAAGCAAATCTGTCCTGGAAGAAGTCTGACCAGAGTGCTCCTTAGAGACAAAGATGGCCAGACTCCGTCTTACATTCTTTAGACATGCTGTCAGGAGAGACCGTCCGCAGAGAAGGACACCATGCTTGGTACAGTGGATAGGCAGTGGGAAGGAAGAGGCCCCAGGAGATGGTTTGACCGACCCAGAGGCTACAACAATAGGCTGAGGCATGAGGACAATCGGGAGGGTGGTGCACGGCCCGGGTTGTGCTTCGTTCTGTTGTTTTTGGGGTCTTTATGAATGGGAATCCACTCAGGGACACCCGACAACAACTCCACTTTGTATAGTAACTGATCAAGGGATCTTTAATTTGCAATACAGGATTCCAGTGTCTCAGGAAAAGAAAAAAAAAGGCTGTTTTCAACTACGGGGGAAAAGCGACGTCTACCTCACTGGATTAACTTATGTTATCGATGGGGGCAGTAGCAGCATCCTATTCCACAGGGGGAGTATAAAATTTCTCCTTTCTCCCCCAAAAGGAACATGTACTGGCTTGTGAATTTGTTTTAAAGGACAGACAAAGAAGAGGGCACTGTGTTAACAGAGAAAATATTCTAGGTTGGAATTCCAACACTAACTTGGCCTTGGAAAGCTACGATACAGCTTTGGGATCAAGGAGGTAAGACCAGGGGAAGGCCCGGGTGAGAAGGGCACATTCAAACATAAGTGATTAGAGTGAACTCTGGAAATTCCCAAATGCTGTGCACACAGTGTTTATGGAAGACAGGTGAATGCTAAGAAAATGCTCTGAAGTCAAGGATGTATTATTTTTTAAAAAGCGATTTTAAGGTATCCCCGGTTTATCCTTCTCTCATTGACAGGCCAGCCATGATCACTTCTCCATAGTTGTGTAGCACTTCACAACAACTCTGTGAAGAGTGTGGGCAGGCACCCTCGTCTGCGTTTTATAGATGAGGAAAGTGAGATTCTGTTTAAGGGGCATGCTCAAGTTCAGGTACAACTAGGATATGGTAGAACAGATCTACAACATTGTTCACTCCCATCCTACTCCAATGCCCTTGCCCTTAAGCCAAACTCTCCCAAGTTCATCTGCAGAGTCTCCTGAGTCACTCAGGATTTAGCATAGGCTGGTGGTGAGTACATAGACTCGATCCTCACAGCCTGAGTTTGACCCATGGGCTCAGCCCTAGCATTTGTCCGCTGTGTGTGTGACCTTGGACAAGTTACCTAGCCTCTCTGTGCTTCAGTTTCCTAATCTGATAATCCTAGCACTTCCTCACAGAATTGTCATTATGTACATATGCCACATACATATAGTATACATAGGTACATAATTTATACAACATATATCTTAAAATGTTTCCGGAGCATTTTAGTGGATAGAGTTGCTAATTCACATATTCTGCTCCTTTTTTTCAAAAGCTGTAACATAGGTATGTGTGTGTTGCTGTAATAGGGGCAGAAAGAGGGTGGTAGCCATTCAGTCAAAATGTTACATTCCACAACTTCTCAGATACGCTACTCCTATTATTGTTAATACTAAATACAACCATTTATTTGTATCGATTATTATTGGCAATAATCATACTTATTGGTAATGCATATCACAGCTAAGAATTTCCATGCACTGTCTTCCAGATCTTTCTAGGAGAACAAGAGCATTTCTTTTCTATGGGTTACTAGAAGTGAGAACTAAGATTCGTGCATAGGGATATAAGCAAACAAATGAATGCTGGCTTAGCGAACACTCCCAGATGGCTGTTTTTGCAGTCCAGATAAGCTCAGTTTCGGCCAATCAGGCCTGATTAGTTCAGAAATTTGTGCTACAAGTGGAAGAAGGGTTAAGCTGGGTCCACAGTACTTCCTCATAGCGTCATCACCCGGTATTATGAGAGAACATGCCAAGGATACCAGAAATAAAATGACCAAGGGAGGCAAAAGGCAAAGTTGTACAGCAAGCAATTCAAGGTACTACTTTAAAACCTGCTCGGGTCAGAACAGAATGCTCCCTTCCTGAAGCGGGTCTTCCTTAAATCACGTAAGCAAGACAAAGAGACTGGATGGTACCAGGGGAGGCACAGCCCCTCCTGGGGCGAAGTCGCCCACAGCATCTCTTGTGAGGCTCGAGTAGGACCATCTTTGCCACAAGCAAAGAAAAGGAAAAGAAATGTGGCCTGAGAATGCCCCACACTATTTCAAATTCAGTCCACCTCTAGCCTGGAGAGATCACCGTGCCATACCTGGGACCTCCAGGCCCACAGGCTAAGAGGTACCCATATCTGCAGGCAGCAGTTCTAGGGCATCCTGCTAACGCCCCATAAGCCGAAGGCCTATCTTGTTGGGTGACTATAAGAGCCACTGGGCTAGGGAGGCTGCTCTGTAATTTGATTATCCATCAGGCCACCAAAACCAACAGCAGAGGGAGCATAATGGTTTTCCGTGCACATCTGTGCACTCTGGACTCTAATCCCCATTTCGTCACTCCCTGCTACATGGCAGCTGAAAGCTCTGGATGAGTGGAAAGCCCCCCTTATCTGGAAAATGGATACGTCATTGAACTGGTGTGAGCCTTAAGTGAATAACACTTAAAACTATATACTTAGTGTAGTGCCTGGCATGTAGTAAGCAGTTCGTGGCACGGGTGTTTCTATTCTTAATTTTTTGACTGATTATAATAGTGCCTATTGTTAAAAACCAAACAATTACTAGTGAAGTTGATTTTCCTGAACATTCTACAGATTCCATAAGATCGTAGATTTGAAAGAAAACACAGCCCTCAGACCTTTGGCTGCTCAGGGAAGAATCCCTTGGTTTCCCTTTCATTAATGATCTCATCACAATGACATTTCTGTTTTCAAAGCTCAGCGTGAAGAAGTGATCTTACCTCATCGAGGAAAAAACTATCCTTTGACTATTATCTAATAAGTACTTGAACAGTATTAGCAAGCTCCTCTCCGCGGTGGAGTCCCGGCTCTCAATTCAAATGATCAATCATAAACAATACACTGATGACTACTGGATGAGATTCTCCCCAATGTATCAGAATCCAGTTTATACAACTACAGTGAAGACCTTCTTCAACGTAACTAGAATATTCATAAAATTCTACCACGAGATACATGTGTTATATGTCCAGAAATATAGCCGTGATTTTCTTTAGCCCTTTCATGTGCTGTGGGACCCAGGAAGCCTGCCTACATTTTCTTCCTCTGAGGCATATTGGGAAGCTACTTTCTCAGTGATGCGCAGTCATAATTGTCTGAAATAGAAAACATGAGTGCCTGCCACAGGCATTCTCTGACTGCTTTTACGGGGGATTTGATGAGGTAGAGCGAGTCTTGGCGGTAGAGCGGGTTATGTGCTGGGCTGCGAACCGCCAGTTCGGGACCACCAGCTGCTCATGAGGAGAAAGCGACGGCTTTTCTACTTCCCTAAGGATTGACACTCAGAAATCCACGGCGTAGTGCTACCTTGTCCCGCTGGGTCACTGTGGGAGTTAGGAGATGCCATGCATCCTAGAGATCTGATCCCGCCAAATTCAGTATCTTTGCGCTGTTTAACTGGGAGTGGAGTCCTATACATATATTTCTGGATTTCTGCATCATTTATAGTGAACCTGGTGGTGCAGTGGGATAAAGGTTGGGCTTTTAATTGTACAATCCATGGTTCGCATCCAGCAGCCACTTCATGGGCGAAAGGTGAGGCTTGTCTGCTCCCCTTGGAAACTCTACATAGGGTCACTGTGAATCAGAACTGACTTGACTGAGTGTGTTAGTTGGAAGATGCCCTTTCCATGAAAATGAATTGTTTGCACCAATAGAGTATTTTCAGGGTCCTTAAAAGGCATGCACCCATTAAGGGATCTGGGAGGCAGTGTCCTAAGTAATTCTATTCCCATAGTCCAGGAAAACAAGTGTGCCTCATGTAACTTACTCTAGAGTCAAAGGGACATATGTGACCCCTATAATATTGGTCCAAGTTTATAGTTCATCACAAAATATCAAAACTGTTCCTTGATTCAGCACACCTTTCATTAATGAAAACACATAGGATCATCAAGCAATACAAAGTAGAAAACAATTTGGCCAAGAAAGGGTTAAAGATATAAGCCCATCACACGTTTTGCTTCAATTCTTGGCTTAAGTAGATTACAGTAGATTATATTAAGAGGTATGAGTTAAAATTCACTGCCAAAGGGAAAAATACACTACAGCATTAATATGACAAGTACTTGTCCTTTTAG